TGCTGGGATTACAAGCGTGAGCCACTGTGCCGGGCCCGAGGGTTTTAAAGATTGTCTTAACCTAAAAGAGTAACGGGACAAAACTAAAGGTTTAAGCAAAGTGAAAAGGGTTTGTAAAGGGTTGATCTTGTAAAACATTCTGTTAGTATAAACCAGTTGGCCAAGAGCTAAAAAAATTATTTAGCATTTTTCCATAGGTTAAAACATTCAAATCATACTGACGTGGGGCCAGAATCTGGGCCCATGTGTCCAAATAACAGGATTTTCTTAGAAAATGGATCTGCTGTTTGATGGAAAATTATAAAGCATTCTAAAAAGTTTATGAAAATCTTACCGTATGGTCAAACTAATTAAAACTGGATAGGTATATACAATTGTATGTAAAAACTAGCTTTAGCATTAAAGATGCACTAATGCAAACATGAAATTCAGTTTTCTTTTTCAAAGATGATTTTTATGTAATGTTAAAAGATAATGAAAGAGTTTTGTTTTCTCCTTTGGGTAAATGGCAGGGAAAAAAAGGACAGAAAGAAGAGACAGATTCAGCTGGCTTCACGCTATCTTCATTGAGTCTTGTTTAGAAAGTTAAGTCTCCTCTATTAGAATAAAGGTTTTTTTTTTTGTTTTTTTTGTTTTTTTTTTTTAAATTTTGTTAGTTATTTTTGCCAGATGAATGACTTATGGTGACTTGGGATTCTATTTTGTGATATCTGGTGTTTTAAACCTTTGATATTTGACAAACTTTCCAAAATCAAATTATAAATTATGTCTCTTTCTAACCTAATATTTAGATATTAGGTCCTCTAAAGTCTTAAAACGGCTTATTTGGTACAAAAATCATACAGGAAGCATTGTCAAATATGAAATGACTTTCTTTGGTCTACATTCGTGTAAATGTGTTATTGGTATATGTTACAAAATTATATAAAAGTGCTATGATTCTAATATGACTTAGTATATGTTAACAATAATAATTATAATTATTATGTTGAATGGCTGTGTGCCACAGAAGTAAATTTCCTTGTCAATTGTGCCTTTAACTGTGGCTGCCCTAAAAATGTCTTTGTCCATCCGCACAGAGCAATTGTTTTCTCACTTCGTCCTCCTTTAAAAGTGATTTTATAATCAGTTATCACTTTTTTTTTTATTTTTGAGATGGAGTTTCATTCTGTTGCCCAGGATGCGGAGTGCAATGACAACAATCTTCAGCTCACTGCAAATTTTACATTGAAGGTCTGTGGCAACCCTTGCATCAAGCCAAAGTCTTACGGTGCCATTTTTTCCAACAGCCGTGTGCTCACCTCATGTCTCTGTGTCACAGTTTGGAATTCTTGCAATATTTTCAATTTTTTCATTCTTACGTATCTGTTATGGTCCGCTGTGATCACTAGACTTTGATGTTACTATTTAATTATTTTGGGGCACCACTGAACTTACACCCATCCATATAAGATGGGATATATTTGGATGTTGTCCCACCCAAATCTCATGTCAAATGTATCCCCAATGTGTGGAGTGGGAACCTGGTGGGAGGTGACTGGATCGTATGGCAGATTTCTCCCTTAGTTCCAATAGTGAGTGAGTTCTCGTGAGATCTGGTTGTTTAAAAGTGTGTAGCACAGGCCCGGCTGGTGACTCACACCTGTAACCCAGCACTTCAGAAGGCCGAGGCAGGCGGATCACAAGGTCAAGAGATCTAGACCATCCTGGTAAACATGGTGAAACCCGGTCTCTACTAAACACACACACACACACACACCACAGCAAAGATAGATGGGAGAGACAAGATGTACCACTGCACTCCAGCCTGGTGGCACAGCAAGACTCTGTCTCAAAAAAAAGTGTGTAGCCACCTATGTCCCCTTCCTCCTGCTCCAGTCATGTGAAGTGCGGCGTCCCTTTGCTTTTCCTGCCATAATTGTAAGCTTCCAAAGACTCCCTAGAAGCAGATGCCACTATGCTTCCTGTACAGCCTGTGGAACCATGAGCCAATTAAAGCTCTTTTCTTTATAAATTACCCAGTCTCAGGTACTTTTTATAGCAATGCAAGAACGTTTCTTTATAATTACCAGTCTCAGGTACTTCTTCCTTTCTTTTTTGTTTGGAGATGGAATCTCGCTCTGTCGCCAGGCTGGAGTGCAGTGGGCCCAATCTGGCTCACTACAAGCTCGCCTCCCAGGTTCACACCATTCTCCTGCCTCAGCCTCCGAGTAGCTGGGACTACAGGCCGCCGCCACCACGCCCAGGCTAGTTTTTTGTATTTTTAGTAGAGACGGGGTTTCACCTTGTTAGCCAGGATGGTCTCGATCTCCTGACCTCGTGATCCGCCTGTCTCGGCCTCCCAAAGTGCTGGGATTACAGGCATGAGCCACCGTGCCCGGCCCGGCCCAGGTACTTCTTTATAGCAATGTGAGAACAGACTAATACCGACAGCAAATTTAATTGATAAATGTGTGTATTCTGACTGCTCCACTGACGAGGTGTTCTGTTCTCCCATCTCTCTTCCTTTCCTTGGGCCTGTCTATTCCCTGAGACACAATAATACTGAAATTAGGCCAGCCAATAACCCTACAATGGCTTCTAAATGTTCAAATGAAAGGAAGAGTCCCATATCTCCTAATTAAATCAAAAGCTAGAAATAATTAAGCTTAGTGAGAAAAACATATTGAAACCAGAGAGAGGCTGAAAGCTAGTCCTCTTGTGCCAAATGGTTAGCCAAGTTGAGAATGCAGTGGAAAAGTTCTTGAAGGAAATTAAACATGCTACTCCAGTGAACATATAAATGATAGGAAGGCAAAACAACCTTATTGCTGATCTGGAGAAAGTTTGAGTGGTCTGAATAGGAGATCAAACCAGCCACAATATCCCATAAGTCAAAGTCTAATCCACAGCAAGGCCCCAGTGCTCTTCAATTCTGTGAAGGATAAGAGAGATAAAGCTGCAGAAGAGGCTGGGCGCGGTGGGTCATGCCTGTAATCCCAGCACTTTGGTAGGCTGAGGTGGGCAGATCACAAGGTCAGGAGATTGAGATCATCCTGGCCAACATGGTGAAACCCCGTCTCTACTAAAAATACAAAACAATTAGCTGGGTGTGGCAGTGCGCACCTGTAATCCCAGCTACTCGGGAGGCTGAGGCAGGAGAATCGTTTGAATCTGGGAGGTGGAGTTTGTAGTGAGCCAAGATCATGCCCCACTGCACTCCAGCCTGGCGACAGAGCGAGACTCCATCTCAAAACAAACAAACAAACAAACAAAAAAGAAAAAAAAGACACTTCAGAAAAGTCTGAAGCTAAAATAGGTTGATTCATTAGGTTGAAGGAAAGATGTCATCTCCATAACATAAAATCACAAGGTGAAGCAGCAAGTGCTGGTGGAGAAGGTGTAGCTAGTTATCCAGAAAGTCTAGCTAAGATAATTGATGAAGGTGGCTACACTAAAAAACAGATTTTCAATGAAAATGAAACAGCCTTCCTGGAAGAAGATGCCATTGAGGAAAGTCATAGTTAGAGAGAAGAAGTCAGTGCCTGTCTTCAAAGCTGCCAAAGACAGGCTGACTCTCTTCGTAGGAGATAATGCAACTGGTGATTTTAAGTTGAAGCCAATGCTCATTTGCTATTTGCAAAATCCTAGAGCCCTTAAGAATTATTCTAATCACTTCTCTTTCCCCCACCCCATGAGAAAAAACAAAAAGAATTATGCTAAATCTGCCTGTGCTCTATAAATGGAACCACAAAACCTGATGACAGCACATGTGTTGACAGCATTGTTTACCAAATATCAAGCCCACTACTGAAACCTATACTCAGAAAGAAAGATTATTTTCAAAATATTACTGTTCACTAACAATGTACCTAGACATCCAAGAACTCTGATGCATACAAAGAGATTAATGTTGTTTTCATGCCTTCTAAAAGAGTATTTATTCTGTAGCCAATCAAGGAGTAATTTTGATTTTCAAGTCTTATTATTAAAAGAAAAATATTTTTGAAGGCTGTAGCTGCCATAGACAGTGATACCGCTGATGGATCTAGGGAAAGTAAATCAAAAATCTTGTGGAAATGATTAATAATTTTGTATTTCATTAAGAATATTCATGATTCCTGGCCAGGAGTGGTGGCTCACAGCTGTAATCCCAGTATTTAGGGAAGCCAAGGCAGGCGGATCATTTGAGGTCAGGAGTTCGAGACCAGCCTGGCCAACATGGTAAAACCCCGTCTCTATCAAAAAATAAAAATAAAAAATTAACTCAGTGTGGTGGTGCACATCTATAGCCCCAGCTACTTGGGAGGCTGAGGTGGGAGAATCACTTGAACCTGGGAGGGAAGACTGCAGTGAGCCAAGATGGCGCCACTGAACTCCAGCCTGGGTGATTGAAACCCTGTCTCAAAAGACAAAACAGAAAAAATTCATGATTCCTGGGGGGAGATCAAAATATCAACATTAAAAGGAGATTGGAAGAAGTTGAGTCTATCCCTCATGGATGACTTTGAGGTGTGCAAGACTTCAGCAGAGAAAGTAACTACAGATGCGGTAGAAATAGCAAGAGAACTAGAATTAGAAATGGAGCCTAAAGATGTCACTGAATTGCTGCAATATCATGATAAAACTTGAATAGATGAGGAGTTACTTCTTATGGATGAGCAAAGAAAGTGGTTTCTTGGCCTGGCGCGGTGCCTCATGCCTGTAATCCCAGCACTTTGGGAGGCCGAGGCGGGTGGATCATGAGGTCAGGAGATTGAGACCATCCTGGCTAACACAGTGCAACCCTGTCTCTACTAAAAATACAAAAAATTAGCCGGGTGTGGTGGCGGGCACCTGTAGTCCCAGCTACCTGGGAGGCTGAGGCAGGAGAATGGCGTGAACCCGGGAGGCGGAGCTTGCAGTGAGCCGAGATCAAATAACTGCACTCCAGCCGGGTGACAGAGTGAGACTCCCTTTCAAAAAAAAAGAAAGTTGTTTCTTAAGGCTGGGCGGGGTGGCTCACACCTGTAATCCCAACACTGTGGGAGGCTGAGGCGGGTGGATCACAAGGTCAAGAGATCAGCACCATCCTGGCCAACATGGTAAAACCCTGTCTCTACTAAAAATACAAAAGTTAGCTGGGCGTGATGGTGCATGCCTGTAGTCTCAGCTACTAGGGAGGATGAGGCAGGAGAATCGCTTGAACCTGGGAGGTGGAGGTTGCAGTGAGCTGAGATTGCAGCCACTGCACTCTAGCCTGGCAACAGAGTGAGACTCGTCTCAAAAAAAAAGAGAAAGAAATAAAGTGGTTTCTTGAGATGGAATCTACTCTTGGTGAAGATGCTGTGGCCATGATTGAAATAACAACAAGGAATTTAAAATATTCCGTAAGCTTAGTTGATAAAGCCATAACAGGGTTTGAGAGGACTGAATCCAATTTTGAAAGAAGTTCTATTGTAGGTAAAATACTATCAAACATCATAGAAATCTTTCCTTTCATGAAAGGAATGGTCAATTGGTGAGGCAGACTTCATTGTTGCCTTATTTGTTTTTTGTTTTTGTTTTGTTTTGTTTGAGATGGAGTCTTGCTCTGTCATCCAGGCTGGAGTGCTGAGGCATAATCTGGGCTCACTGCAGCCTCTGCCTCCTGGGTTCAAGCAATTCTCCTGCCTCAGCCTCCCACCTGCCACCATGCCTGACTAATTTCTGTATTTTTAGTAAAGAGGGGTTTCACCATGTTGGCCAGGCTGGTCTCTAACTCCTGACCTCAAATGATCAGCCCTCCTGGGCCTCCCGAAGTGCTGAGATTACAGGTGTGAGCCATCACACCCAGACCATTGTTGCCTTACTTGAAGAAATTGCCACAGTCACCCCAGCCTTCAGTATCCAGCACCCTGGTCAGCAGCCACCAACACTGAGACAAGACCCTCAACAGGCAAAAACATTATGAATTGCTAAAGGTTCAGATAGATTATTATTAGTATTTTTTAGCCGTAAAGTATTTTAAAATTAAGGCACATATGTTGTTTTTCGAGACATAATGTTATTGCATACTTAATAGACTATAGTGTAGTATAAGCATACCTTTTATGTGCACTGGGAAACCAAAAAATCATGTGACTTGCTTTATTGCAATATTCGCTTTGTTGTGGTGGTCTGGAACTAAACCTGTATATCTGAAGTTTGCCTGTATATATATGTGCATACACACACACATGCACACAAGCACACACACATCCACTCCCAATCTTATTGGTTCTGTTTCTAATGCACTTAGGAGAACCCTAAGTAACACAATCTCTCACCTACAAAAAGTGGAGTTGGTGTAATGGAAAGTGTATGAATGGACAGTTAGAACTGAGTATTGACTCTTTCTCTACTATTATCTTTGAGGGAATTACTCCACCTCTTAAAACTTTAAAGTTCTCATCAGCAAAATGTTGTGGACCTACCCGCTTTGCAGAGATGATGTGAGAATTAAGTGAGATAATACATGTAATGCATCTGGGGCACAGTAGATCCTAAATAATCCTCTTCCATTGTATGACATCCATTGCAAATACGAGTTATTTATTTTCTCAGGTTTTCAACATAAACCTAGAAGGAGGTCACATAACCAGAAGATCTGTTGCTACAACTGAATGCAAGATTGCACATGCTAGGGAACTCTTATCAATCAATTTCAGAAGATGCATACATCAAATGATCTCTAGGTTTATAATAATTATTTTGAATGTGGTTGCATATTTGAGTGAGATGGTATGGTAACAGACTCACAGGGATGCCATATCGGGTCCTGTAGAGAGTCCTCATTGCGACGCTCGTTCCACACAGACAGCATTCATTCATATCAGCTGCAACTTGACACGCAAGGCATGGGAAACAAAACGTGCCACAGAGACCTAGACACATGAAACCAGGGGTACACGTTACTCCACTCTGCCCCTGCCACAACTGAAAGTTTAGCTTGCTTTCACAAATGGCAGTCCAAGTCACGAGGCCTTGGCCATGTAACCTGCTGCTAAGCCCATCTTCAGTGTTTCTGTTTAGCTTTGCATCAGTTTCTCCCTCCACACGCAAATCATTTCAGGAATGACCACGCCTTTGTAAAGTATATCATTCTTGTCATAGCTCTGCCTTCATTCATTTGTTCATTGATGCAGTAAAATGTATTCATTTTTCAGACATTACCCTCAGTACTGACAGTGCCCCTGGCTCAAGTCTAGTAGTGAAGGCAGATCATAGGGAAAGTTCTCCAACAGAAACGTGTTTAAAATGCCAACAGGTCACCCAGAAAAATGGGGCCTACAAGGCCCTGAGTAGGAAATGCTGTTTGAGCTGACTACTGAAGGATGATGAGATGTTTTAAAGGTGGACAAAAAGGAAAAGAGCCTCTTCGAGGTAATCTGGCATATCCTGGCAAAAGCTAGTGTTCATTCAATACGGCTGGAGCCCTGGGATGGGATGAGGATTTAGCTGTGGGTTGAGGCAGGTTGGGGAGCAGACGATGAAAAACTCTGAGTGTTAAGAGTGTGTCATGAGAGTTATGAGGAACCACTGAAACATTTTAAGAGGGGAGAATAATTTGATCAGATCTACATTTAAGAAAATGTGCTACTAAGCAATTAAGCTTTGATTGGAACTTGTGTATTCATTTAATTGGGTAATAATAATACTAGGGGTAAGAGGGTTAACATGTTCATCTTTAGAGAGTTTCACCAATGTGATCTAATTCTTACTTTGATTTGCAGATGTTGAACTGGTGTCCTGAGAAGCTTAAGTCATCACTCCAGACAATGAGAGTGAAAAAACTAACCCAATTGTTTTATTCTCTAGGTAATTTTCCCTTGCTATGCTACTGAGTGTGTAATTCTTTTTTTATTTTTATTTTATTTATTTATGATTGAGTCTTGCTCTGTTGCCAGGCTGGAGTGCAACGGCACTCTCGGGTTCAAGCAATTCTTCTACCTCAGCCTCCTGAGTAGCTGGGACTACAGGCACCCGCCACCACACCTGGTTAATTTTTGTATTTTTTAGTAGAGATGGGGCTTCACCATATTGGCCAGGCTGGTCTTGAACTCCTGACCTTGTAATCTGCCCGCCTTGGCCTCCAAAAGTGCTGGGATTACAGGTGTGACCCACCACACCCAGCCTGAGTGTAATTCTTAACACATTCAAAGTTCAATTTCAGGCCAGGCATGGTGGCTTATGCCTGTAATCCTAGCAATTTGGGAGGCCGAGGCGGGTGGATCACTTGATGTCAGGAGTTTGAGACCAGCCTGGTCAGCATGGTGAAACCTCGTCTCTACTAAAATTACAAAAATTAGCTGGGTGTGGTGGTGCATGCCTGTAACCTCGGCTACTCGGAGGCCAAGGTAGGAGAATCACTTGAACTGGGGAGGCAGACATTGCAGTGAGCTGAGATCTCACCACTACATTCTAGCCTCGTTGACAAAGTGAGACTCTGTCTCAAAAAAACAAAAAGCAAAAACAAGGTTCAATTCAACTCTCATTCAAAGTCAATTTCAACTGTCAAGTTAAAGGATAATGTATTTTATTTTCTTGTCTTAGAGTACTATGTGGACCAAGGCAAGCAAATAGACTTCAGAGCAAGTTTTCTGTAGGTGGATGTGTTTGTTTCTTGGTCATTATTGAGAACTAAGCACCTTGCTCCTCTCTGCAACGCCCATCTCACCCCAAACTTCCTTTCCTGCAAGTTCATTTAGAGAGATCTCGAAGTAAGAGATCTTTTAGAGAGATCTTATAAAAAGAAAACAGGCTGGGCGCGGTGGCTCACGCTTGTAATCCCAGCACTTTGGGAGGCAGAGGCTGGCGGATCACCTGAGCGGGAGTTCGAGACCAGCCGGGCCAATATGGTGAAACTCTGTGTCTACTAAAAATACAAAAATTAGCGGGGCGTGGTGGCAGGCGCCTGTAATCCCAGCTACTCAGGAGGCTGAGGCAGGAGAATCTCTTGAACCCGGGAGGCAGAGGTTGCAGTGAGCGGTGATTGTGCCATTGCACTCTAGCCTGGGGGACAAGAGTGAGAAAAAAAAAAAAAAAAGAAAGAAAGAAAAAAAAAGAAAACAAAGCAGTCAGAGATTTTTTTTTTCCTCAGTGACAAGCTAATTGCCACAGAATTCTTTATTCTCAGGTGTGTAAAAAACCTAAATATATGAATGAAAATAGTTCTTCTCTGAACGCATATGGAAACCATGAATGAAAACTATCCCCTGGGTACTGGACACAATGTAACTATAAAATAATGAGGTTAATTTATATGTTGCAAGAATAGTCTTTCTAAAAAATCAAATTCAACTTGGAATTTTTAAATTAATGTAAGGTCTATTTAGTCAGGCCAGACCTGCTCGTTGTTAGAATCAATCAACTCTTTTGCTATTATCTTAACCCAGAACTTATTTTAGGAATAAGACTGTTCTTTGAAGGACTGGAGAAAAATTAACTTATCCCTACGGAGGCTTTTTTTTTTTTTTTTTTTTTGCGCTAAACATACCATTGCCTGACATGCAGAGTGCCTGTAGTAAGTTAAAAACTTTATCTACACGATAAGGGAGGAATAGGGGAAGGGTTTAGTCATTGGTAATTCACCTCGATATCAATTAAGGGGCTTCTTTCCCCACACTTACAGACTCCGCAGTCGCTGAAGCAGTCACACATGCTTGTCTGCCAGTCGGAGTTCTGGGGTGCCATACCGACTCCAGGTTGGGTCACAACGACCACCGGCGCCTGAGATTGCATTTTCAGTGCTGGGTCTTAAAAGCAGTGGACTGAAAAGTCAAAGAGTGGCGTTAGAGATCTCGAGGTTGCTCTTGAAAGCCCACGTTAGGGCAGGATGCTGAGGCAGTGTAGAGGAAGTTGCTTTATTTGAAGAACAGAATTTCTGTCTCCACCCCTCACAAGATAGAGGCCGTGGAGGTGGGAGGAAGGAATTCACCGAACTGGGCCGGGCGCGGTGACTCACGTCTGTAATCCCGGCCGGCCGAGGTGGACGGATCATTTGAGGTCAGGAATTCGAGACCAGCCTAGCCAGTATGGCGAAACCCCGTCTCTACTAAAAATGCAAAAAATTAACCAGGCTTGGTGGCGTGTGCCTGTAATTCCAGCTACTCGGGAGGCTGGGGCAGGAGAATCGCTTGAACCCGGAAGGTGGAGGTTACATTAAGCCGAGGTCATACTTCTGTTCTCCAGCCTCGGAGACAGAGTGAGACTCCATCTCAACAAACCCCCCAAAAACAAAAACCACAGAATTCTCTGAACTGGGAAGGTGAACAGTTGCTTCTCGTGGGGTAAGAGAGCGGAACAGTGTTGCTCATGTACTGTTTTTAGGCAGGTACCTGGTATCCACACAGGCAGCGAAACAAATGAGCAACCTGTGATCGTGGCCGAAAGTAGTGAATTATGGAAAATAACATTCTCTAAAATGGCATCATCCTAAACTTTTTTGTATGTCCCCCCACTTCTTGCTCCTAATTTATTATTTCTTTTTGGACTGATTTCCTATGAGCAACCATTTCCAGTCTTCCTACTTCCTGACTTGTCCTTCACTTCATATTTACTGGGAGCCTGCAATCCTGTGTCAGCGCTGGCCTGACGGACGCTGCTGTGTGGTACGGGCAGTTTATTTAAGAAGTACATTTGGTAAGGTTACTCCTCATTTCTCTACATCATGAGAGGCAGCGTAGGGTCATGGAACATGAATTAGATTAGGAGTGAGAGAGCCTTTGCCCAAGTCTTAGTTTCTGAAACTGTGATCTTAGACTCATCATTTAACTAGTCATTTAAATGTCCACTTATTAATCTGTAAAATGAGGTTTCTGACCTACCCACCTTACAGGCTCATTCTAAAGAATTTGTCTTTAAATAAAAATACCATGAACTGTATTCAGAAGAGCTGAAGCTTATTTTAAATGTATTAGATGTGCCCTTCCATATACATTAAAGTGGTTATGGCTTCTGCTTGATTTTTTTTTTAATGTACCATAATAGCCGTTCACTGCTTTTTTACACTGGAAGAGTGAGGCGGACCCATCTGCGGATCCCACAGCAAACAAGATTTTCTGCAAAAGAAGTTTCCAGTAAGTGAACAAAAAACCGGAGGGGTCGGCTGAGCCGATCATTCAGGGCGTGCATGATCGCGGGTGTGTGTGTGGCGGCGGCGAAGTCCCAGTCTAGGGGCAGATACGTCGGGTGATGGACTAGGCGAACGTGTGTCTGGCTGCCGCTGTCTTCCGGCCTCTTCCAGGGAGGAGGATCCGGGAGGCGGAGAGCCCCCCTGGCTCCTCCCCAGTTGCAGGGACTGGTCTGAAGCAGGGGCTTCAGGAGGCGGGGAGTGGGTGGGTGGGCTTCTTACCTTCTCCGCCCGCTCTGCACTCGAGAAGGGGACTGTGAGCGGCAGCTGCGCTTGGGGCTCTTCGATCACCACCCCCCGCACTACGTCTCCCGCCAGAGCCGCTCTGGGACCCCTGGGTCTCCTCTGCTGGGACCAGACCTGCCTGCCGGTGAATTCTTAGAGCAGCCCGCGCAGAATCCATCCCAAGGAGACCGCCCATTGTTGCTGGCGCAATCAGGGAACGGCGCCTGCGGATGGCTGCCCTCTGGGGACCACTCGCCTGGGCGGCGCGCCGCTGGGGACTCGGCGTGAACCCGGCAGCGGGCGCGCGGTCTCGGAGCCCAGCCCCACCTGCAGGCGCCAGGAGCCGCAGCGCTGGGCAGGGCTGGCACCGCTCCCTCACGGGCACCCGCCACTCTGTCGCTCCGGGCGCCCAGGCTCACCGGGCGTTTGTTTCTAAATTGTAAAAAGTTTTTATCAGATGGTATGGGCTGAGCAACGCTGGGATCGGAAAGTAAGACAAGAAACTATCACCCACCCTCTCCCCCGCCCGCTGATTTGAATGCTTATTAGATGGACCCTGGATTCTAGTCCTGCTGTACATGCCCACAATGTAAGAGGAAGCAGTCACAACCCTCTAGACACACTCATGCCGCCAATCTCATGAAATAAGAGGTAAGGACCTTGCAATGATTCCGTTTTCGTCACTCACCCCTTTTACAATAATTAGCTTGGCTTTGGGAAAAGTAAGTCCCAAATCCCCAACACTGAGGGGTAAGCTCCACAAAAGCAGGGAATTTTGTGGGTCAAGTTCACCGAGGTTTCTCAAAACCTTAGCTCGGAACCTGGTACACAGGAGGAGCTCACTAGCGGCCCCGTCACCACGCTCTCTGCTTCCCGGCTGGCTGAGGCCATGCGTGATGCAGGCTCCAGATGGTGCACAGCAAACAAGGGCCAGAGCCCAGCCCTGAAAACGCAAACAAGGCTAATGTTTCACCTGACTCTTCAGACCTCTACAGATAGGGCCCAGATCTTCCCTAAATCCCAACTCCAGTACTAACATGGTCAAAACCATATTTTTGGGTGATGGCTTCCCACATTTGGAATCTTGGGGGAAGAAGCATTACAGGAAATGCTAGAGAATACGTATTCTAATTTCTTATGCATTTCATCTTAATTATCAAATACCAAAAAAAATATGAAATGCTAATTATCAGTAATGTCAAGTGGTTATCCCTAGGTGATTGACTGATAGACTTTTTTTTTGTTGTTTTGTGATAAGGTCTCTCTATTGCCCAGGCAGGAGTGCAATGGCATGATCGTAATTCACTGCAGCCTGGAACTCCTGGGCTCAAGTGATCCCCCCACCTCAGCCTCCTGAGTAGCTGAGATTACAGGCGTACACCACCATGCCTGGCTAATTTGTTTTCCTTTTCTGTAGAGATGGGGTCTCACTATGTTGCCCAGGCTGACCTTGAGCTCCTGGCCTCAAGTGATCTTCCTGCCTTGGCCTCCCAAAACACTGAATTACAGGTGTAAGCCACCACCCATGGCCGATAATTTTTTTTATACTTAGCATTTATTTCTTTTACAAGCAAAACAAGAAATATCCTTTTCAGAAACGAAAAGCAAATCCAGTGACTAGAAAAAAAAAAAATTTAAGGGGGCATACCAAGCCAGGTACGGTGGCTTATGCCTGTAATCCTAGCACTTTGGGAGGCCGAGGCGGGTGGATCCTGGGTGACAGAGCGAGACTCTGTCTCCAAAACAAAAAAAAAAAAAAAAAGGAGGGGCATGTCATACAAATGATACTATAGCTGTTTGTATTTTTTTTTCCCTCTTGGCCTCTAGCCAACGCTTGGCACGAAACTGGTATTCAATAAATAAAGATGATCCTACAACTCTTTCAGAGGAAAAACATGTTCATTTTACACCCTTATTTTTTCAAGAAGCCTATATTGTGATTTTTAATACAATAACAGAAATCCGAAGATTTCAGAATAAAAACCGCTCTGCAATTATATAATTGTTTCTCCTTTACCTGACTGTCTTTACTTAGTGTACAGCGTATGTGTTTGTGTATTCAATTTGGCTAATGTTAGACTTCATAGCAGTTTGAGTCCTGAACATTTTCTGAGTGCCTTTGAAATCCACTCAGTGGCCATCTCTATATTCTGTACCAAGCAGCTGTATCGGCCTGGCGCAGTGGCTCACATCTGTAATCCCAGCAATTTGGGAGGCTGAGGTCGGGAGTTCAAGACCAACCTGAACAACGTGGAGAAACCCTGTCTCTACTAAAAATACAAAATTAGCTGGGCGTGGTGGTGCATGCCTGTAATCCCAGTTACTCGGGAGGCTGAGGCAGGAGAATAGCTTGAACCTGGGAGGTGGAGGTTGTGGTGAGCCAAGATCGCGCCATTGCATTCCAGCCTGGGCGACAGCAAGACTCCGTCTCAAAAAAAAAAAAAAAAAAAAAAAATATATATATATATATATATATATATCAACTGTATCTCAAATATCCATATGCTAACTGCCAGTTAGTTTGTATGAACATTTACTTCCTCCATGTAGTAGCCTCAACAGTCTTTAGCCCAACAGTCAACATTGTATGTTTCTGTTTCCTTCACTACTTTTGTACTTTTGACTTCCTCTTTTGAATGTGGGAGATTGCAGGGACCCGGGTGCTTTTGTGAATATTAGCACTAGGAACTGGTGCAGAATGGGGGGCCCCAGAAGCTTTCTGATGCTATTATAAGTTCCTCTCTAGTGCAGATTACCTATATTGGTGGAGAAGTCTACTGGGCTTATCCCTGCATAGAAGAGTAGTCCTAAAGGGAACTGCTCTCCAGGACTTCCATCTGTCACTTCCAGCTTATTCTAAAAAGGGTCTAATAACTTCTCCTGTGAGATACCTTATTCAAAAAAAATACCTTCTTGATAGTTATAAAACTGAGATGAGAAAGCAAACACACTCATTTGTATGTGCCTCTGTGATCATTTAAAAATTCAAGGTATCTTTTAAGTTACAACAAAGGTAAAACAGAAACAAATGTAAAATTGTTGCTTGTTCCAAACAACCACAATTCTCTTTGCTTTAGCCATGACATCTTTAGCCTTAGCCATTCAAGGTAAAAGGTCAACAGTAAGTGGAGAGAAAATTTCCTTGAAAATCTAGAATTTCTAGGACCTTAGGTACCAGCTTGTCTCCTTAGTTCAGTGGTCCTCAAAGGTTACTATTAGTAAAACCACTCGGACAGCTCTTTAACATGTGGATTCCCAGACACTGCTCAGAGATTGTAACTTAGATAGAGTGAGCTAGGGTTGAGGAATCTGTACAATGTAGAATTCTACACACTGTTCAGACATTGTGATTTAGATAGAATGAGCTAAGGTCTAAGAATCTGTAATGCGCACCTGCAGGGCTGCTGCCCTTATGCCATAGGATTTTGTCCTGTGAAATAGAAAAAGGTGGCCTTTCTCACAGACATGGCTTGGTGAGCACTTAGCTGCTTCGGTGAGAATTCGAAAAACAGTCTATCTTTCTCCAGGGTGATGAAGCCCATGCTAGGCCCTCCCGCATTCCCAGGAGCACATTTCAAACTAGCTCCTCTCTCTTCAGGTGCAGGCATGTGAAGTATCCTGGGCACTTCACTAGATTCTAATGCCAGTGGCCTTGCAGAGCACACTTTGTAACCCACGGCCAGTGGCGTTATTTTTCTTCTGTTACTAATAACTACAGATCCAATTTAATTCAGCAAATATTTTATTGAGTGCCAGGATGTGTAAAAGTCTTGTGCTGGATTTGGTAAGGGCTAAGGAGATGCCTGAGGATTCCTTTCTGTGGCCAGCAGTTCTACCCATTGCGGGGTGACCACACAGCTGTTTTGTTCTATACCATCTTTAACCCCACAGGAGCAGAGAGAGTGATAAAAAAATTGGCAGGGGCCACCTTGGAAAATGCAGGAAAAGTAGGGGCAGGAGGAAGTGAAATGGGAATCTTGGTGGGTGAGCTTGGGAGAATGAAACTAGAATACGTTTCTTTAGGAAGGTCTTTCTGTGGAATGGTCTCAATGTCAGGAAATCTTGCAGTATTTGGTTCATATTTTAAACATCTTAATTTTATCTATTAGTTAAGAATCAATCTTGTGTTTGTCTCTCTTTTCTATGAGCACCTCACTCCTGAGGACAGCCCACTATCTTATTAAAATACATTAATATTAATATAATACATGATATTAATTACAGTAATATTAATACATATTATTAATATTGATTAATCCAGACACGACATATTATTGAGATTTTTCTCTTCTTTCTACTGTTTATTGATGTTAAATTTCATTTTTTTGCTTTGATTGAAACATTTCCATTTCATAATCTCTCCATCTCTCTTTATACATATTAATGAAGCACCAGAATTTAATTTTGAAGCATTCTAGTCTGTTTTTCTTACTTTCATAGTGAGAATTCAAGGATTCTTATAACTCATTAGCTAAATCTACAAAATTCCATATCTTGTTTCTAAATATTTTAAATGGATAAAATAGAATATTTGTAAAGCAGAAAGAAATTAGACCAGCATAAGTCAACATGCATACGTATTGAAATAAAGAGTGAAATTAATGATCATGTTACTAAATACAATATATATAATATGTGTTTGCTGCAGACAGCAGCAGTTGATGAGGATTCAAGGCTAGGATCTTACACTACTTTGAAAAGCCTGGCATTTGGCAAAATGCTTAGCACGAAATTGTTGAATTTGACTAAATGTATAAATTTAAAGCAATTAGATAAGAAAACCTTAGTCTTTTAGCTGAAACTCAAAATATAACATGCTAAGAAAAAAACAAGAAGATCAAATAACTTTTAAAGAAAGCTTTTTTTTTTCAATGCTAAGTTTTTAAAAGAAGTTCTTACTTGTACTTACAATTAGTAAATAAGGTTCAGAGGAGGAAATGTCTTGTGTCCTGGGAGAGAATCTCACCACAAATGAAAACTACTGAAAGGGGAGAGGCAACTGTGTTTCTATCGCAGTGCATAGTACAAAGAACAGTTTCAGACGCTCTCATTGGCCAGCGTAATCCAGCAGAAGTGGTTTCAATGTGTGTTTCTCTTATCTGGAGAATGAATATATCTCTTGCCAAATAAGGTATGTTCCTTTTCCTATATTGTGTTAGGTACACTGATCTGTCTTTTCGGTGGGGAAAGAATTTAATTCATTATATAGTTTGATTGGTTTTACATGTCTGGCAGAGCTTACTGTTTTTTTGTGTGTGTGTTTGTTTTTTGTTATCTTTGTGGGGAAAAAAGAAGATCATTATTGTTTCAGATTATATAGTAGTTGGCATCTCAAGTACCCTTTAATGATATGAGCTTACAGATACTGAATATTAAAATAGGCCAAGCATTTCAATGATTCGTTGATGACTTTGATAGGCCTTGTTTTTCCAATTTTAGAAGTGAGGAAACAAGCTCAGATCCTTGAGTTGATTTTCAGAGACCACACAGCTAACAAGTTACTCACTTAGGATTTTAGCTTATGTCAGCTCAGCTCCAAACTATGGTTCTTTTTAGAACGTTACTTCCAATGTCTTTGTACCTTTTTAATTATTCTTCTTATTGGTGGTATTACTATTTGTTTCTTTTGAAATTTTTGTTCATAGTCTTTGAATTTCTGATTCCACAGTTTAAATTGTCAAAAGACAAAATTACAACAAATTTAGTTTAGAAGATGTAATTGCCTTTAATTTGCAATTCCAGAATCAAGCAACACATCATTCTATAAAATAGAATGAATGTTCTGGTGAGCTAAGCAGAGAAGTTTGACTTTATAAACAGAGAAGGGATGAAGAAAGCAGAAACAGAGAAAACAAGCTAGATGGGTTGTTTCAAAGTTACTTTCCTTATAAGACTAAAACAGAGAGGACTTCCTTACAACACTGACTCAGGTTGACTGCAATCTCCTGTTTTTTGGAAACTGGCCCATTTCAAAGTTCAGTTTGATTATATGTCACTTAGCACAAGTGACTCCATTCTGGTTTGGTCTGATCTTCTGGGGCCTAAAGCAGGAGGCTAGTCCATAACAATGGCCTCTCATAAACTTTGTTTAACAAAACCTTTCAGAAATGAGAGTTGGCTGGCACAGTGGGAGTCCCAGGTGGAGGACTGCTTAAGGTCAGAGTTCAAGACAAGCCTGGTCAACACAGTGAGACCCTGTCTCTGAGAAAAAAAAAAAAATTAAAAAGTTAGCCAGACATGATGGTAAGTGCCCATAGGCCTGTAGTCCCTGCTACTTGGAAGGTTGAGGCAGGAGGATTGCCTGAGCCCAAGAATTTGAGGTTACAGTGAGCTATGTTGTGTCACCACACTCCAGCCCGAGTGACAGCAAGACCATGTCTCTAAAAAAAAAAAAAAAAAAATTAAGAAATGAGAGTGGCCAGCTTTCCTATCATTCACTCTGAAGTTTTTCCCTGTCATTCACTCTAAAGTTCTTGGGGATGGGAAATCTTTCCCACTAGAACAAGGCTATTGTGTGGGGTTGTACAGTGAGAATATGTGGCATTATGGCAGACTCTAAGTGCTTAGAGTCCCTTTTCAGCCCCAATTCCTAGCTGCCATCCGCTAGCCACTTACACTTCTATGCCTCAGGTTCCTTGTCAAATGAGGGTAATAATTGCACCTACCCCACAGAATTGCAGGGAAAATTCAAAAAATTAATACATGCAAAACATTTAAAACAGTGCCTAACACATAATCAATGTTAGGGAAAACAAAGAAACAAAGAAATCTAAAGAAGGAGAAAGAAAAAGAGAAATGTGGAATTCCAGATAGCCTATTTTCTTCCGAATACTATGTATAAACTCCACAATAAAAAGATGGCAACATGGTCAGGTGTAGTAACTCACACCTGTAATCCCAGCACTTTGGGAGGCCAAGGCAGGAGGATCACTTGAGCCCAGGAGTTTGAGACCAGCCTGTGCAACATAGTGAGATCTCATTTTTTAAAATAAAAAATTAAAAAATTGAAAAATCAAAAAGATGGCAACAAATGTATACTAAATAGTTATTTATTGTATTAAAGGGGGAAAGTACATTTTAAAAATCAGTAAGCTTGGCCGGGCGCAGTAGCTCATGGCCTGTAATTCCAGCACTTTGGGAAGACGAGGCAGGCAGATCACCTGAAGTCAGGAGTTCGACACTAGCCTGACCAACATGGAGAAACCTCGTCTCTACTAAAAATACAAAATTAGCTTGGCGTGGTGGCGCATGCCTGTAATCCCAGCTACTCAGGAGGCTGAGGCAGGAGAATGACTTGAACCCGGGAGGTGCAGGTTGTGGTGAGCCGAGATCGCGCCATTGCACTCCAGCCTAGGCAACAAGAGCCAAACTCCGTCTCAAAAAAATAAAAAGTATGGCCAGGCGCGGTGGCTCATGCCTGTAATCCCAGCACTTTGGGAGGCTGAGGCAGGCGGATCACCTGAGGTTGGGAGTTCGAGACCAGCCTGACTAACATGGAGAAACCCTGTCTCTACTAAAAATACAAAATTATCCAGGCGTGGTGGCAAATGCCTGTAATCCCAGCTACTTGGGAGGCTGAGGCAGGAGAATTGCTTGAACCCGGTAGACAGAGGTTGCGGGGAGCCTAGATTGCGCCATTGCATTCCAGCATGGGCAACAGAGCGAGACTCTTGTATCAAAATAAATAAATAAATAAAAATAAAAATTAAAAAAAAAAAAAAAGAAAAGAAAATTTGTGAAGCCACACCAGCAGAAAGAAATGAGGACAGAATACAATGTAATAGGAATTAACTACTGGTAAGATTCCCTGTGGGTTGGGAAAGTTAATGATTTCTTTCTATATGAAGCAAACTTTGAAGGATAGGTTTCAAACTGGTGATGATGCAGAGGTGGAATAGAATGAGCCAAGATTAAGAGGCAGGACTCAGCAGAAGAGACAGGTAACTACTTTGCTGACCCAAAATCTTGACTTATGAAGATAATGGGATAGACTTGAAATAGGGACCATTCCAGAAAAACTGTCCACTTTACATATCTTGAATCTGTAAATATTAAAATTAGGACCTCAAGGTTAACATGCCCCCATTGAAACCTTCAGTTCTCATCCTCTGTCACACACACCTCCTAACCTTCTCCACCTCAGTAATTGGCACCACAGTCTACTCATTGATTAAGCCAAAAGCCTAAAAGTCATCCCTCACTTCCCAACCATTCAACTGACTAGAGCTGTTGGTTTTACCTCTGACATGTGTAACTAATCCATCTGCTTTTCTCCGTCTCCACTGTCATCCTCTGTAACTCTCATCTGGACTGTTGCAAAAGCTTCCTTGTTTGTCTCCCTGCCTTCATTCCTGCCCTCCAACATAGCAGCCAGGATCATCTTTCAAAGATGTAAATCAAATTTTGTAACTCCGACAAAACCACTCCAATTTCTTCCCCTTGCACTTGGAATAAAATCCAATTTCCATCATGGTCATTCTCCATTTGCACTGGCCTTCCTTCTGTTCCCGAAACAAAGCTCACTCTTCCTTAGAACCTTGCACCTGTGGTTTCCTCTGTCTAGAATGTTCTTATCTGTCTTATCTGAACTCTTGTTCGGGCCTCGACATCTTTCCTTCAGTCCTACTTGAAGTAGGTCCTTGTTACCCTTCACCACATAACTCTGGCTTTTTTTTTTTTTTAGGCCAGGGGCACTACTTAACTTTATTCTGTCACCTAGGCTGGAGTGCAGTGGTGCCATCGTAGCTCTCTGCAGCTTCAACCTCCCAGGCTCAAGTGATCCTCCCACTTCAGCCTCCCGAGTAAGTGGGACCACACCACCATGCCTGGCTAATTTTTAAATTTATTTTAGAGATTGGAGTATCCCTATGTTGCCCGGGCTGGTCTTGAACTCCTGGGCTCAAGCGATTCCCCTGGTTTGGCCTATCAAAGTGCTGAGATTAAGCCAGCACTTTAAGAGGATGTAATCCCAGCGATTTGGGAGGCTCAAGCAGGGGGATCATTTTCCATCCCTTTCCCTTTCCTTCTTCCTTTTTGATTTTTTTTTTTTTGACAGATTCTCACTCTGTTGCCTGGGCTGGAGTGCAGTGGTGCAATCTTGGCTCACTGCAACCTCTGCCTCCTGGGTTCAAGTGATTCTCCTTCCTCAGCCTTCTGAGTAGCTGGACTATAGGCATGTGCCACCATGCCTGGCTAATTTTTTTTTTGGTATTTTTTGGTAGAGACGGGCCTTCACCATGTTGGCGAGGCTGACCTCGAACTCCAGACCTGAAGTGGTCCGCGTGCCTTGGCCTCCCAAATTGCTGGGATTACAGGCATGAGCCACTATGCCTGGCCCTATTTTCTTATTCATTTTATTTCTCTTCCACTTAGTAGATACTTCATGTAATTTGCAAGGAAGATCTAATATGTATTGCTAAGATTCACTTACATCCTTGCATGTAGTTATAGACCATTTTGTGCATTCTTTCTTTTTTTTGTTTTGGAGACAGGGTCTCGCTCTATCACTCAGGCTGGGGTGCAGTGGTGCACCACGACTCACTGCAGCCACGACCTCCTGGGCTCAAGTGATCCTCCCACCTCAGCCTCTCGAGTAGCTGGGATTACAGGAATGCACCCCCATGCCCAGCTAATTTTTGTATTTTTTTTTTTTTTATAGAGACAGCTTTCTCCATGTTGCCCAGACTGGTGTGCATTCTTTGCTCCAGCCAGGAGAGCTCCCTTGGAACTGGGTGCTCCCGCTTGGGAAAGAAGTGGACAATGGAATGGCCACCCTACTGAACTCCTTCTGTGGTTCATAGACCATGATGTAGAGAAGGTTTCATACACCTCTTCTTGGCTTTTGCATATTGTTACAATCATTGTATTTAACCTAGAATTAAGTTGAGAAAACTGTATGGACCCATCATCCAGCTTCAACAATTTTCAACTATGGTTAATATTATTCAGTCTATTGCCACACCAAATTGTTAGTTCTTTCTCCCTGGATTATTTTGACACAACTTCTGGACATCATCTTATTTCATTAGTTAATATTTTAGTATACATCTTTAGATGAT